ATCATGTCACGGATGGGGCGGTTGATTCTCCTAAAAACAACGTCTAGTCGTGTCAAAATCTAGTGATGAATCGGATATACTGCAGCCGCCAGTGGCGGATGCAAGGCATTGATAGGGGGTCAATTGACCCCATAAATTTTTAAAAATCTATTATATGTAATTAGCAATAATTCTAATGACCCCAACTTATAATAAATTTTGAGCCCAATACAAAATTAATGATGCAATATGAAAGAAAAAATAGTCCAATTACTTAAAAGTTGGATTCTCACTAAAATTTTAGACCCATAATTTACCTTAAATAAAATAAATATTCACCTAATATTATTTCAGTTTTTACAAAACACAAAATAAAAAAATATCAAATTTTTTAGTGTACTATTTAGTTCCGCCACTGGCAGCCGCTCCATCCGAATGGAATAGATTATCGCATATGCCACGAGCTTTTGAACTATTGTCGGCGCCACAATTAAGTATGTAGAGGCCTATGAAGTCATCAATGGCTAGGTCTAGAAAATTGATGGTGTGAATCCTAAGCTTGTTTGAACTTTGATCCATATCTCTTTGCTGATACTGAAGATAAGCGAAGTGGTTTCGCATTCACAGATATAAATAGCTAAATTAAGTTGACTCTAACAATTTATAAACAGACAAACAATCATTACACAACTGACTTGAGATCAAATAATGGAGGAAGTTCTAATACTTGGCCTCTTCTGGGTTTCTTTCAAATCTCTCATCCTTTACTAAGAAGTCTACCAATGGTGATAATGCATATTCAGGTCTTTGCAGTGCTTTTACAGATTCCGTGGACAAAACTCGCCCAGATAAGCAGCAAAGACGAAGATGAAGCTTGTACATTAGATGATGCTACTAGTTGCTCCAAATTAGAGCCTCCAACTATTTACATTTTGCTTCAGGCAAACTCGATCCAGCTCATTCCAGATTCTTTGGCCCCTAACTTCTTAGCGGCTTCTCTCACTTCACTTAACTGATCCCACATGCCCAACGTAGCATAAGCATTGGAAAGAGATGTATACAACGATGGATCTTCCGGAAATGCCTTGAGCAATTTCTCAGCAATTACAGTAATCAGTCCCGCATTCTTGTGAGTTCCGCAAGCAGTGAGCAGAGACATCCATATTGTTTTATCGGGTTCTAAAGGCATTTTCTTTATCAATTCTTCTGCCTCTTGGAACCGCCCAGCTTGACCAAGAAGATCAACTACGCAATAATAATGCTCTAGATACGGTTCAAGACCATATTCACATTTCATCGTTTCGAGGATTGATCTTGCTTCTTCAAGCAGTCCAGAATGTCGGCAAGCAGAAAGAAGCCCCAAAAAAGTTACCTCATTTGGTTCAATCTCAGAATTGATCATCTTGTGGAAATACTGAAACGCTTCTTCGACTCGTCCGTTTTGTCCAAATCCCACAATTATCCCCGTCCAAGAGACAACATCTCTTTCCAACATACCATCAAACAACACTACACTATTGTCTATCTCACCACATTTTACATACATATCTCCTAGTGCTGTCGCTGTAACAGGTTCTGATTGGTAACCTTTCTTTATACACAACCCATGAATTTGCTTACCACATCCAAGAGACGCTAAACTTGAACAGACTTTGAGAATACTTGAGACGATAAACTGGTCGGCATCGAGTCCCAACTTGATTAATTCCCTGAACAGATAAAATGCTAAAGAATTGAACCCTGATTTCACACAGCCTCTTATCAAGCCAGAGAAAGCGATGATATCTTTATTTGGAAGCCTATGAAACAGCTTATGTGCTTCTTGTATATTCCCAACGTTTGCGTGTAGATCAACAAGAATGCTTCCTACAATGTAATCCAACTCATAACCACTGACTACAACTAAACTATGTACCTGAAGCCCGAGTCTTAAGTTGACTAAGTTGATGCATATCTTTAAGGCACCACTTAGAGTGTAGGAATCAAAACACAAATCTGACTTGTACAGCAGCAAAAGCAGCCCTAATGCCGCTTCATTCTCTTCGTTAATCAAAAATCCAGAGAGCATAGAATTCCAAACCGCAACAGTATTACAGAGGGCCGGCTTTTCCTGATGAAAAACATCAGCTGCATCACTTAGAGAGCCACAGTTCGAGTACATATCAATAAGAGCAGAGAGTGCGAACGGGCTAGACTCCAGACCCGACTTTACGACACAGCCATGCAGTTGTTTACCCATTGTTAATAAACCACCAAAACTGCAAGCTTTAAGACCACATGGTAAAGCAAAACCGTCTAACACAAGTCCTTCTCTCTGCATCCTAACCAGAAACTCCAACGCACGAGGACTACCCTTATCGACAAATCCCGAGATCAAACAGTTCCAAGACACAATATTTGGCTGCGGAATTCGATTAAACAAACTAACCGCCTCCTCAACCATACCTGCTTTACAATAACCAGAAATAAGAGTGTTCCACGAAGTCGAATTAGGCCGTAAAATCTCCTTAAAAGAGCTATTAGCTTCACTAAGTCTCCCATTCTTAACAAACATATCTACAACACTATTCATCAAAACAACATCACCTTTAAGATTCTCTTTACCAATCCTTTCATAAACAAAACTCCCCAACTGAATATCACCCACTAACCCACACGCTTTCAAAACCGCAGAATAGATAAACTCGTTAGCCGCTTCTTCTTGAGATTCCACCATTCTTCTGTATAACTCAATAGCCTTACTGGGTTTTCCATCACAAGTATACCCAGAAACCATCGTAGTCCAAGTGACAATATTTCTCTCAGTCATTTCATCGAACACTTTATGTGCATCACTCAACAACCTAAAATCAACATACATTGAGATCACGTTATTCGCAAGAAACACATTTTGAGAGATCCCTTGTTTGACTATATGAGCTTGAATTGATTCTCCACGCTTAAAAGCTTGTATTTTCCCACAATGACGTAATCCTGCTGCTATAAGCTTCAAGTCCATAGCCATTTTCCAATACAAATCTCAACAATTCATTACAATTGCAAAAATAGTCTTAACGTTAAACGGAAGGTAGTTTATTTCGAAGAACAAAAAACGTCACGCTGTTTAATACGTGAAATGAAGACAACGGTAGGTAGTTTATCTGGGAAAAACAAACACGGCACGCTGTTTAATACGGTAGACCGTAAAACGGTAGGTAGTTTATTTGGAAAAAACAAAAACGGCTGTTTAATAAGGGAAATGAAGACAGTAAAACGGCAGGTAGTTTGTTTGGAAAAGCAAAAACGGGATGCTGTGTCAGTGGCTGATATATTAATAACCATAATTGTTAGAAAAAAAAAAAATCAGATCTGAAAATTTCGCCGTCGTCTTCCTCCTCCTCCTCCTCCACGAGCTCCTCTTTCACGAATCTTCAATCTCCAGGTGGGTTTTTTTCCTGGTTCTTTTGTTCTGGTATTATTGTGTTTGCAATGGCTTCTAGTTCTGTTTCCAATTTGGAGATTTCAATTGTAGATTTTCTTTTTGTATATAAACTGATCCTTGAATAATCGAAGAATATATTCACTGAAAAACTTATTTTCTTAGTCTAATAAGACTTTACATTGATAATCTATGGATTCTAGATGTTAAATTGTTCTAAATCCTAGGTATATAGCTGTTGCTTGTACATACTAATGTTGTTCTTTGTTATTTGTCAGATGAAAATGAAAGATAGTCGTTGCACAATCATACGTTTTGATTACGGAGGATGTTATTCGAAGAACGGAGATGACGTACGATGGAATCCGAAAGAAGATCAAATTTATACTTTAGTGATGAAAGGATCTTTCGAAGAGTTTACTTATTCTGTGTTGGTTGATAGGATATGCAAGAAAATTAGGGTAGATGAAGCGACGACGACGATGTTGAAGTTAAGTTACGTTCCGTTGCTAGAGGATCCTAAGAGGCAAACTTATCTTTTGGATGATGAAGATGTTTTAGGATATTTAATGGAAGGAGATAATAATCAGCGGAGAAATGTTTTGCATGTGGAACTCATTGAAGGTGTCGATCAAAACCAGAGTTGGGAGCGAGAGGATGGAAGAAGTGGAATTGATGTAAGGAATGAGGAGATTGCGAATGATGAGTTGTTGGCAAATGGTGAAGAAGTTGCGTACATGGATAATTATGGGATGTCTGTTGATGATGTACAAGTAGATGAGGTTGTGAATCTTGAATGGGAAGATGGTATTGGTTTGACTTTAGGTCAAGAGTTTGAGAGTAAGCAGGAAGTTCAGGATTTAGTTGAGAAAGCTGAACTTCAGAATTGTTTTGAGGTTGCTATATTCAAGTCATCACCTGGGCTATACGTGTTAAGATGTCGTGGTAGTGGTTGTAAATGGTATCTACGAGTTGCAAGGGTTAAGAATTCGGATCGTTTATCTGTTAGAACTTACAACAAGATGCATACATGCTCTCCGGTAACTACAACTAGAAGAAGAGATAAAAGAATAGCCACACCACAATTAGTTGCATCTCTCTTGCTAGAGGATTATCGAGATGTATTCGACACTCTAACTCCAAAAAACCTCATACATTTGGTTCAAGAAAAACATGGTGTTACGGTTTCATACGCTACTGCTTTGAGAGGAAAAAAACAAGCTGCAAGGGATGTGCGGGGTCATTCACATACTCCATGAGATGGAAGAAAAAGTTATGCGTTTGCATTTGTTCCTGATCATGCATCTGTTTTTTTTTTTTTTCTGATCACATCATCCAACCAAATGATATGTTACTTTTGGTCAATAACCAAACGTTGAGGATTTAGTTGAAAATGTCGGGTTTAGGAGTAGTTGAATGTATATTCATCGCAAACTGCGTACTCTTGCAAAGTTCAAGAGTCTAAAAATGTCTACTGCTTGGGAAAATCAATCTTTTGCTGGCATCATTAACGTTGGATCCTTACAAATTCCAAGTAATCAAATTGTGCACTGATGCAGTGTTTAAGAGCCAAGCCACACCCACGGCATTGCAAAGCTAATACAACAATGTATGCCTTATCCGCGGGTTTCAAATTCGAATTGACACATCTACCTTACAGTGACAACAATGCTTCACTTGTAAAATATTAATAATGAGCTACTAGAGGTGAATTTTTAGACTTCAAACATTCTATGTCTACATACAAAAAGCTTTGATTAGACCCAAATACAAATACACCAGAGTCTTCCTTCGTTGCTTCCTCAAATTACAAAGCATCGTTTCAACACTAAATAATATGTATATATGATATATCCCTTCGTTTATTCTTGGACGCTCCAAACGAATCAAGGCTTAGCCACAGCACGAGCCACATGCCGGTAGGGAATCTGAAAAACCACCAATAAAATTTTCCGTTATTCAGAATCAAGTCAAAATCAAACTAAGAATCATTCACAAGGTCTAGATGTGCTTTCTATCATCAAAAGGATCAAATATCAAACTCATCGCGGGTTACTTACTGTGGTCAGCTCCACGGATATCATTCAAGCCACGCACATTGTCGAGGCCCCCACGAGGAGGTCCACCACCGCTACCACCACCACCACCACCACCACCACCGCCACCGCCCCCACCCCCCATGCCACCCCACTTCTTGTTAGCCTTAGAGCCTTTCCTGTATGCATCTGATTTCTCCATCTGCCCAATAACTCGCAGGTAAGTCAACGCTTGTGACAGGTTATGGAACCTAACTCCAAGAAATGGAAGAAGAATCTTACCGAGAACATGGTTACAAAGAAGACTTGTATCAGATTAATGATGGACAAGAAGAAATCTTTGATCGTCCTTAATCTCCATATTGGCCGCTTCGCTTTAACCACACCTGGTACATGTTCCAAAGTTAGTCAATGTCAAATACACTTAATATTTGCTATATATTTATGTTTTCACAAACGCTAACTATCAAAACCCCAAAAACAGATATACAGATTTAGGGAATTTTTCTCTTCTCTTCTCTCCCCAAAAAGTGTGTTAATGGAAGCTCCTAAATTACCTATGAGAACCCAAAAACCCGTCCCAAACTCCGACAACTAATCTCTACAATGGCAGAAGAATGTAATCATGAACATAGCATTATATCTACTATGGCACAAATCGCATTTACCAAAACGTCATTGCTTGCCTACATTCATAACTCTCATATCAAATTCTCTCTAGCTTTAGGAGACATAACCCCTATGATTCACAAACTATTGAACATGAACTCGCTTAGGCTAATGTTAGTTTTAACAATCACTCAGCCAGAATATGCCCATTCACTAACTTCTCCCAATATACATTGCTCAAAAGTTTACACTTGTTTGAAGTTTAGACCTGAATAGCACATCTTAGATATTAAAAGTCTAGAAATGTCTCCTGCAACGGAATCTTCATCGAGCTTTCTATTCGAATTAGTTCTCTGAGAATCGTATAATAACTGAATGATTATAGACCTAATCCAATTTCCATATTCCATAAACCTATAAACTTTCTAATAATAGAAACATATAATCCCGTTTGCCCAAAAAAAAAAAACAAAAAAGAAACATATAATCCCAAATCAAAAATCGAAACCCCTTTAAACATTCATATGATCAATCCAAATTCAGCTATATAAAACCTAATTTCCATATTACATCAAAATCACAAATTCTGTAACAATCAACGCTCAATAGTTATAAATTTGAAACAAATAGCAGGATTGATGAAAACTTGAGACAAATCAATTTAAGGATTGAAAAACGAATAATCAGATCGAATTTAACTAAATCGATGACACACAAAAAAAATAAAAAACGAAAACGAAAAGAAACAGAGAGATCTAAGAGACTCTCATACCTCCTTCGACGTATGCCATTGAAGTAAAATTCTGGGTTCTTCTTCTTCGTCAACAACAAAATCTCCAGAGACCTAATTGATTAACACCAAAATAAGCGATTAAGCTAGATTTTATATCGTCCTTTGACTCTATTCACGCGTTTGTGTTTCGAAGTTTCGCGACGTCTACGTGGATTTGGCACGTGTCATATTCTCATTGGAAACTGTAATGCTTGTAATTTTTTTTTAACTTTTTTTTTTTCCACTTTTGACTTGTGTTGTACGAGAAGAATTTATATTGATCAGAAGAGACTCATTCGATTGAAGTATGAAAGAAACCCTGAAATGGCATAAATAACTTTTTCTTTTCAGTCTAATGAGCAACATGCATCATATTATGATTTAGTATGAAATCTAACACTGTGCAATAACACTGTAAGAAGTCGGCCTAAAACAAAAGAAATACATTACTTAACATTGATACCCAAAAAAAAAAAACATCAAACGCACGATTAGCAAGGTTTGTTCGTAGGTCAGCTTGTTCGTTTGTCGTATTAGTTTGCCACCTTCAAAATCTCCAGGAATGTTTTATCTTTTGTTACTTGTCATTCATTTACGAATAACGCAAAAGTTAATAAGATTTTGTATTTTGAGTATGTGTGGATGCAAGATCCCACAACTAGCTAGAGATTTGTGATTAGATTAGAAAGGGAAGATTTAGGGCTAAGTTCTCTGACGGATCAAACAAGATCAAGACTTTAGAAATCGAATGTAGACTTTTATATATCAAAGTGAAATTACAAAAGGTCGCGCATGTTTTTAGAGCTAGATGTAAATAGAAGTGTTTTCTCTTAAAGTGATGATGTGTTATTAATATGGTGAAAGTTGGCCAACTTTCATATATATGATTAGTACTAAAAGTTTAAGAGTTTAACACATAAATTAATAATAAAAAAAGTTCTGTTTTAAAATATGATTAGTTTTCTATTAAAAAAAATAATTCAACATATAAGAAAACAAATTGCATGATTTTAAAAGGCCAAAAGCATAAATTTTTGAAAACATCAAACAAATGATTTTTTCTTTAAACATCACTTACTATGAACAGAGAGAGTATTAGATACTATAGTCAATCGAAAGTAGACAAATTAGAAAATTTTAGGTCAAATTTAAAGGAAAAATTCCCAAAAAAAACCACAATTATTTTTTATTTGAACGTTTAAATACCCAATAGTTTTCGATTGGAAGAAAACTACACATGTTAGATCAATCATTTTCAATAATAGTTGGTATAAAATTTAGAAAATATCTCAATTTTTTATTTGCGAATTAACATTAACTATTTGAATTAAAGATTACACGTTTAACAAACTTGCCAAAATTTGCTTCTCCTTCACGTTTTCTGCCGGAAACCATGGGGTCTTCCCCGGCGGCCGCTGTCTCACCGACGGATAGATCTGATCCGGTGTCTCCTAAGTCTGCTTGGGTCTCTCCGCTCCCGGAGGCCTCTGTTCCACGTTTAAAACCAGTTGTGAATCTAGTCGACGGTGTCGCTAGAGTCTCTGTCCCTGCTGAGATTGTTGAGGAGAGTTCCCCTCTCTGGAAGTGTTTTGTTGTTGGTTATTTCATGGGTGATGCACCACATCTAGGCACGATTCATGCCACTGTGAACCGTATTTGGAACTCTGTGGGAAAGGCCTCACGTATTGATGTGCAATTTTTGAGTCCGAAGACTGTCCTATTTCGTATTGAAAATGAACAAACTCGGGCTAGGGTCTTGAGGAGAAAGTATTGGCATATTGCGGATGTGCCCTTAGTGTTGAATGACTGGAGCCCTGAAACAGTTCATGAGAAGCCAAGCTTAACGGCCATGCCATTGTGGGTGGATTTTAGAGGTGTTCCTGGATTTCTTTTCTCTCAAAAAGGCTTGCGGTTTCTAGCTGACATAACTGGAGAATTTGTTCGCTTGCATCCAAACACTGAGCGCTGTACCAGGTTGGATATGGCGAGAATTTTGGTAGAGGTCAATTTGGAGAAGGTGTTGACGGAAACCATTTGTGTGGAAGACAGTGAAGGTTCAGAATTTACAGTCTCTGTAAGCTACCCTTGGCTTCCTCCCCGCTGTAACCAGTGTTTTCAGTGGGGTCATAAGGAAGCTGATTGCTCGAAGAAGAACACTGCAGTTGGTGCTGGGTCTCCTAATTCATCACGGTCCCCTGTTTCTCAAGATGAAATCACAGTCTCTGATCCTCTTGCGGTCGTGGCAGCTTTGGTTAATGATCTTGAGAATGTGTCTGCTATTGTCGTGGAGGGAAGACATGTAGGATCTGAATTGTTGGCGGTAAACAATGGATCCACTGTAGTATCTGATGGTGTAGGTATAAAATCCGGATGCGAGACAAATGAATCACACTCTGTTTTAGTAGTCACTGAGAATGTGGCTGAGGCTAGTGGAGAGCAAGAGAAGACTGAGCAGGGCTGGTCTATAGTTCCTTATGGTCGTAAATCAAGCCCTCTCCGTAAGCCAGTAGACAGAACTGACTTACCATTGGGCTTGGCCTCAGGATTTCTTGTCCTAGAGGATTCCCCTGAAGATGGCGAAATCGTTGAAACAGAGACGGAGCAGACGGAGCAGTCTAAATTGGTTGAAAATAAAAGCTCAGGGGTATCGGAAAATGCAGCAGCCAGTGCCAAGTCTGGGACTAAGAAAAGTGGGAAGCAAAAACACAAGCAGAGACCTATACTAAATAAGAAAGACATGTTGCAAATGAGGCCTCAAGCAAATTCTCAAAAAACTTCCTCTAGGAAGTTCTGATGACGTCAATCTTCTCTTGGAACATGCGTGGGTTCAATCAGCCATGCAAACAAAATGCTGTTCGTAGATGGGTGCAGTCACAGAAATTCACGGTCGGTTGTCTACTTGAAACACGTATTCAAGAAGAAAATTATCGGTCTATTTTTGAGTCTACGTTCCCTGGATGGCAATGTCTTAATAATTATACGTATGGTAGGTTGGGGAGAATTTGGGTTTGTTGGTCAGCAGAGGTTGATTTACATCTAATTCATATGAGTGCTCAACAAATTACTTGTTGGATTAGATTTCAAGCGACAGGAGAGATCTTTATTTGTTCATTTGTGTATGCTTCAAATTTTGCCATTGACAGGAGAGCTCTGTGGAAGGAGCTCACAGACATTCAAGTGGGTTGTGTGCAAACGATTAACCCGTGGATTGTTGTTGGTGATTTCAACGTCACTCTTGCTGCTACGGAACACTCACGGTATCTTGACTATCTCCAAGACCAGTCAGCCATGCGAGAATTCCAGAATATGGTGCAAAATTGTGGACTCGAGGATTTATCATATGTTGGTCCAGTTTTTACTTGGTCAAACAGTCAAGATGGCAACCCGATTAGCAAAAAGTTGGATCGTGCTCTAGTAAATGGTAATTGGCTGGGGACTTTCTCTAGTGCGTATGCAAATTTTGAAATGGGAGGAGTCTCGGATCATGCTCGTCTTTGGGTTCAAATCAGAACGTTAGCGCCTACAAATCGGCGACCATTTCAGTTCTTCAATCATCTCGCTTCTCACCCGCAGTTTTTGGAAATTGTTGCACAGACTTGGTCATCATCTCAACCGTTATTTCACTCCCGTTCTGCTCTAACTCTGCTGCACAAGAAATTGAAGTCATTGAAAGAACATTTAAGGCGGTTAAACAGAGAGAGATATGGGGATCTCCCTTCTCGTGTTAAGGCAGCCTATGACGAGCTTTGTGTAAAGCAGAATGAAGCTCTTCAAAATCCTCAAGAGCAGACGTACGAGGCAGTAACAGAGGCATCTGAACGATGGAATCACTTAGCTAGTATTGAGGAACAATTTTATCATCAGAAATCAAGGGTCCAATGGATGCAGTTTGGTGATCAGAACACTAGTTATTTTCATAAGACCGCAGAGAGCCGCGCTGCTAGAAATGCAATCAAACACCTAAAGACGAGCAATGGAGAGGTTTTGACAGAATTAAGTGACATAAAGGCTAAAGCGGTTAGACATTATAAGTCTTTTCTTCAAGACCAGCAAGTAGATATTGAGGTGCCTTCAGTAAATTATATCTCGCAGCTTGTCTCTTTTAGGTGTACTAGCGATGATGCTGCTCGGCTAGTTCAGCCTGTTAGTGTGGAGGAGATAAGGAAAGCAGTGTTCTCCATGCCCCTAAATAAAGCGCCGGGTCCGGATGGCTTCACAGTTGAATTCTTCAAAGCAGCATGGCCAATAGTGGGTCGGGATTTTGTTATTGCCGTGCAATCCTTCTTTCTGTTTGGATTTATGCCGAAGGGGATTAATAGCACAATCCTCACTTTGGTTCCCAAGACCACAAGCCCTGATACTATGAAGGACTATAGGCCGATAGCTTGCTGTAATCTTATTTATAAGGTTATATCGAAGATCTTGGCTTCTCGTCTCAAACAGAAACTGCCGGAAGCTATTGATTTGAGTCAAAGTGCATTTGTAAAAGGCCGTCTCCTCCTTGAAAATGTTCTGTTAGCTACCGAATTGGTGAAAGATTATCACCGCCCATCGGTTACTACTCGGTCTGCGATTAAGCTGGATATAGCTAAGGCATTTGACACGGTCCACTGGTCTTTTATTGCATCAACTCTTCGTGCAATGAACTATCCGGAACAGTTCATTTTTTGGATCTCTCAATGTGTTTCTACCGCTTCCTTTTCAGTTTCTATCAATGGTGAGCTTGAGGGTTTTTTTACAAGTTCCCGGGGACTGCGACAAGGTTGTTCACTCTCGCCCTATCTCTATGTCATTGTGAGTAATGTTCTTTCCGGTTTGCTCACCAAGGCAGTGAGGGAGCGGCATATTGGCATCCACCCTAAATGTCAAGATTTTCATCTATCTCATCTAAGTTTTGCTGATGACATATTGGTATTCACTGACGGTACTCCTCAGTTGCTTCATGGTACTCTAGCGGTATTTATTGATTTTGCGCATATGTCAGGGCTGAATATAAACATCTCCAAATCCTCTATTTTTGCTGCAGGTAGAGGCAAACTGAGTCTTGAACAAGCAGCGGCGAGTTCTGGTTTAGAGGTGTGTGAGTTACCAATTCGTTATCTTGGCCTACCACTTACCACGAAAGCTATGACTAGGGTGGATTATGAACCGCTAATCGATAAGATCCGGAACAGATTAGCGAGCTGGACCACAAGATATCTTTCCTATGCAGGACGGGCTCAACTAAT